ACCCAGCCAACGCCTGTCGTCGGTAGTGCGATCGCGAGAGTTATATCACTCCTAGCATACGTACAGTACGGTAGTATCTTCGTAATGAATCGACACCGGCCGTAGTACCTCTGTCGGCGCCGTACGTACGTACCTACCTAGAGCTACACGAAGGAGACACTACAGGGCCAAAGGACAACCGGGCAGTGCACGCGTGTGACGGCCGGCGGTCCGTACGTACGTGCGTTCCTATTATTTCGTTGGTTTCGTTTCAAAAATTCAAATCACCAGGTTAATAGTATTTTCCTCTCACAAAAAATCGAGACTCAAGTGCTGTAAGCCAAACCAAAGACCAGCGGCGCCAAACCAGCCAACAGACCCGTCGGCGTTGGTGGCGACGAGGTGCTGGTATCGTCTATTCGCGACAGCTAACTAGCGAGGTGCATGCTGGTCACCGGCCAGGCCAGGGGTAATATAATTTAGGCAGCAGGGATCTGCCTATATTATATTGAAAGTTGCAATGCAACGTAGTACACACTTTGTTACACGTGATTAGTTAGATGACGATGATGACTTGTGATTCAAAAATTATTTACATATGCAACGGTCGTGTCATCTGTTTGGTATTACATCTTATAGAATTAGACTTTGTATCGTACTATCGTGGCTAGATGTAAATTGTTTTAAATTGTTATGAGCATGCACGGATTGTGAGTTCGGATCACCCATTCATTTCAAATTATAAAACGTTAATGTATTGTTTTTAGTTTACCATGTACCTAGAAAAAAAAATACATAGCTCTATCTATCTAGAAAATTCAAAAAGTCTTATAATGTGGACTGTACTAGGAAGCTAGTATTTGTGCATGACCTTAATGTTTTGGTGACAGATGTGCACGGCACGGGCGTTAGTTAACACTTGGCACACGGGGCATGGCACTGTATATAGCTTCATTGATAGCAGCACAACGGAGGCACACTAGGAGCTGCGTGCAGGACGCGCGCAGAGCATGAGCAATTCAGCATCGACGACCTCTTCTTTCTCTCTACTCCCTGGCTGGATGGATCATCACGTGCCGCGTCGCAGGTCTCCATGAACAGCGGTCACCTTCCTCCATCCATGGCCAGATCTGGCGCAGGCGTTTACTCCGGCCTCCTCGGCTGCTCCTACGTGCACGCCGCCAATCAATGAAGCCGGGTGGTTGCCGCACTACAAGTCTAGAGCCCCGGTACGGTCCCCGGGCCATGCTCGCCCACCTTGTTCGGCGACCACGTCGACATATATCGCCGCTTTCTTTCAGGAGGACCCTCTGGACAAAAAAAAAAGTATATTTATATGATATATAAAAATCCCGTGGTTCCAATGCTATATTTAGATTTTATTTGGATGCAATGACAACATTTAAATAAGGCCTTATCTCTACATCTACACCTAATAAAAAACTCTAAAGTAATCATCTACCTGATGATACCAAATCCGTATACTATTCGATCGGCATTTCTGCACAAAAGTCCCAAGTCCACACACCTCCGCGCCAGAAGTCCAAGAAATCACAAAACGGGGCTGGAGAGAGTGTGCTTATGTACAGAGTCCACGTCGGAACAAACTTCTACATAGTTCGCTTTGAAGACGGTCGGCGGCCTCGGCATATTATTTATAAATCCAGAAAGCACGTACGGGTAATATAATTCCAAAAGGCACGTACATGTCTACGGGATCATCACAGCAACATCATGGTGCCCCTCCTCCCAATCTACGTACATGCTCGAGCTGCATCACGGCAACTGTTGCACAGAGGTGAGGCTAATTTCTCTATCCTTCGATCTCTCAATCAAAAACTATTCATTATTCCTCTTTATTTTTTGAATATTCGATTTCATACCTTCAATATTGGATTTCAAGCCTAGATGTTACATGTCCGATGATCTGAAATTATACAATACTGGTAAATTGTAAAGATCTCAGTGTCTAAAGTGTTTCGATACCAAGACTTTGATACGAAATCCTCGAAACTCATGTGTCCGCGTCCGCGTCCGCGTCCGATTACTAAGCTCAGTAAAAAAGTTCATAGCTCCGGTGCAACGCACGAGCATTTATCTAGTGGGTGAATATACATGTATAATTTGAGTTCGTCTATCCTGTAGTTCCTGAAAAGAAAATATTACTATATGCCCCTTTGGAAACAAAGGATTGAATACCACAAAATTTCAACATGCTGCTGCTCCCAAATTCCCACGTCGCTAGCTGGCATGCAGAAGCAATAAGAGCCCGGTAAAAACTATTAAACAAGCCCACGCCATTTTACAGCTTCCGAGCCCCCCCGAGCGCGCGGTGAAAAAACAGCACGCAACGGCGCGAGTACAAGGATTAGTTAACCAGGAGACAGAGCCGGCGTGGGTAATCTTTTCTACTACTAGGCGCCGTGAGATCTATGGCGATCCACGTCCACCCAGATTAATTAACCTCGTTCATCTGACCAAGTCGTCGCTGCCGTTGACATTGGCCAGGGCCCAGCACGCACATTTTAGCCTCTCTGTTTCTATTCTACGGACTACCTTGAGATTCACCTTCACCTGCAGCAGGGGGCGGTAAAAGAAATACTCCTACCTGTGCGTGTTCGTGTGGAGTGGAGCTCGCTTCGGCATTGGAGCGCCGTGAGATCTATGGAGTCTCACCTCAGATTATAGTTTACTTACCCGTGGTAGTAGACCCCGGAGCTGTAAAAAAAAACTTGAACGTAAATCTTGGTGAGATCGTGCAATTCAACAATACGGCTTCTTCTTAACGTAAGTTTAAATTGGCTAAATTGTCCACATATTTTTTTTTAACAATGGCTTCTTAACATAAGTCTCGCAAAGAACTTCGAAAATAAGTTTTTGATACAACTTCTTCAAACAAGTTTTGGAGAGGACTTGTTCAACCAAAAATTAGTAAATATATAAAGAGACTGCTGAAGGATGTTTTTTTTCATCAAAACTAGAAGATATTCCACGCATTGCTGCGGCTATTACGAAGAATTTGGGATGAAAATGAGTGGAGATGATGTATGTGGATAACTTGCAATTAGAGGTTGAAAGTTAGAGACATGACTATTAGTGGGAAATGATGTGGATAGTTAGTGGGGTATGATGTGGATGGCTTGCATATTGAGATAGACTTTTAGTGGAGATTAGCTTTATAAGAGATATAGATATAGATATCTATTCCTATAAAATGAGGAAGGATATAAAGAATTTTTTAGAGTTGCTCTTAGTAAAAAAAGATGATAGAGAAGAAAATAGTTATTCCCAAAAAAAGAGAGGAGAAAATAGTATCTTAGGGAAAAAAATTATGTCCAGATATGAAGAGATGTGATAGGTAAATGATAGAACGTGGTTGAATAAAAAGTTACTATTTTGAGAAATCTACATGACTTGACGTCTTAACGACTATATATAGAAGCTTGTTTAGACTCAGTTTGACAGGGCTCTTTCAGGCCACGGTTTGGCTCCACGCTACAGTACCAAGGAGCCATGCATCGTGGCTTCTCCTGGCTTACAATCCATTTCGCGAGAAGAAAAAATGACTCCTATGAACAATGTTGCTATAGTTACTGGTATAGAAGGAGCCGACGTCGTAAGAATCTTGGCCAATCAAATCTCTGACCGAACTTAACTAAGCGCAGCTATTTCAGTGTGCTGTTTGCTCTCGCACACCACCTTGGCCCTTGTTGAGTTCACCAAAACTCCTAACTTTGTCACTATGCAAAAAGAAGATTTCCCGTCACATCAAACTTGTGGTATATGCATGAAGTACTAAATATTGATGAAATCAAAAACTAATTGCACAGTTTGGTTGTACTTTGCGAGACGAACGTTTTGAGCCTAATTAGTCAACGATTGGACAATTATTACCAAATAAAAACAAATGCTACAATGTATCTACAGTGCCGACGAATTCAGCCGCGCCGAATCTGGCCGGAACTAAACGCGGCCTTGATGAGCTTGCACTTGTACTAGAGTTGTAGGCAAAGGCATGCATCCTCTGCACACGCAGAGAAGGTCCAGGTATTTGCCACCATCTCCATGCTCTTGTTCGAAGCTACTGGCAGCAGCTTTATGCAGCCTTCAAGAGTCTCTTTCCCGGCCCTCTCTTGAAGGGAAAATAAAGAGAAAGGTGCCCCATGAATTCATCAGCCCGGTACAACACAGCTACGGCCATGAGGCCTTGTTTAGTTAGCGAATTTTTTTGAAAAATGATACGGTAGCACTTTCGTTGTTATTTGATAATCAGTGTCCAATCATAGTCTAATTAGACTTAAAAGATTCGTCTCGTGAATTTCGTCTAAACTGCGTAATTAGTTTTATTTTTTTTATTTATATTTAATGCTTCATGCATGCATCAAAGATTCGATGTGATGAAAATCTTGAAAAATTTTGCAAAATTTTAGGAACTAAACAGGCACAGAGTGCTGTTGGCAGAAAGGAAGGATGGCACCTAGTGGCAGTAAATGGGAGCTTGCACATACTAATCCAAGTGCAAGTACTCCATTAAGGGTGAGGCATTAACATCATCTCTACCTCACCATTAAGCCTAGCTAGAGGCCAGCCTCCCTTGGGTTGGGCCTTGGCTTCCATTCTAATCTACTTGGAGGGAGATTAAAGGGAGCCACCACTAAACACTTTGAATAGCATCCAAATCCACCTTTTTGCATGCTAAGTAATAGCAATAATAATAAGACCTCGACTTGTCCTCTAATCATCGCTCCACGCTAATTTGCTGAACTGGACGGTGCATGAAACTCGATGGTAATGATCCTTCACCTTTTCTCAAGCTTCAACATATATAAGTTACTACATCATATAAATTACTTTCACCACGTTTCGGCTCATCCTGGACCCACCTGTCAACGGTTCATGGCCAACGACATGGGAGAAAAAAAAGAGAGGGGGAAGGGGATGACCCAACGCAAATCCGTTCCTCTGTCCACGGCGGGCGGCGGCATGTACAAAACTTAGAGTGGACGCACGGCGGGCGGTGGCTAGTGCTGGTAGGAGTCCTGCGACGCCGGGGACGGCATGGTGGAGGCGGTTCGGCCGGTGGCGGTGGCGGAGGAGGCGGTGGTGGCGGACGACGGCCGCGGCGTGGCCGTGGGCGCCTGCTTGATCACCACGGTGGGCAGCAGGCCGGGGCTGCGCGCCCGCCGCTCCTGCTCCTTCACCAGCTCCGCCGCGAACGCGTCCAGCTTCTCCCGGTTCGACTTCTCCGACAGCCGACGGCCCCGGAACAGCTCCGCCTCCACGTTCCGCTGCGTCAGCATGCCGTCCGCTGCCGCCACCGCCTTCTTCGCGTCCAGCGACCTCAGCGCCTTCCCCGAGCACGCCGCCGGCGACGCCGCCTGGTGGATCGGAGTAACATTTAACGCGACGAGGAGATCGATGTCATGGCGGTAGAAAGTAAAAAAAAGCAGAGTAATGTGGTAATTCCGCTGACCACCCACCTGGATGCGAACGTAGTTGCGCCCGCACGTGTGCCCGAACGCCATGGCCACTGCTTGGTCGACCTGCACAAGGCCGGGGCGCGGTAATTAAAAAGTTTGTGTTTTTATTACCACGGTTAATAATGAAGATAAATTTGGACGGCAGCCGTGTGATGTACTGACAAGTAACGAATCAGGGAGGCGGAACAGAGGTGGTTTGGTTATTACCATGTCGGCGACGCCTTCGGCGGTGAGTCGGACCATCTCGGCGGGCGACGGGGAGCGCGGCGGTATGGGCGTCCGCCAGCCGCCGGCGGAAGGGGTGGCGGAAGCCGCTGCGGCGGTGCCGGAGGAGGATCCCGAACCGATGGAGACGACGAGGAGGTCGTCGACGCCGGCGGCGAGCGGGAACTCGTGCTTGTTGTGGAGCACGTGCGTGATGGCGGCCGCAGTGGGGTTGCCCATGGCGGCGACGCCCCCAGACGCGGCGGCGATGGCCGTGCGCCCGTCCACGGACCGCACGGTGGGGGCCGCGGTGCCCCCGGCCGCGCAGGTGGCGGCGCACACGTCGCGGAGGCGGAAGTCGAAGCTGTCGCTCTCGACGGCGTCGGCGCGGGAGAAGAGGAACGGCGCCGCCGTGGCGAGGTCGTAGCAGGGCACCAGCAGCGGCGCCACGGTGTCCCGGAGCGTGGCGCCCCCGAACACCCGGCGCAGCGGCGCGGACGACCTCGACGACCTCTCCCCGCGCCGGAACAGCGCGGCCCACCTGCTCCGGAGCCTTTCGCCGACCCCGGTCCCCACGCCGGCGCCGCCGCCCCACCCGCCACCGGGCCTCCCGAGGCTGGCCGCCACGAACGCCAGCGCGTCCGCCGCCGTGTACCGCGCCCGCCCGTCGTCGCCCTTCAGGAGCAGCATCGCGGCCAGCACGCCCCGGCGCCGGCGCCCGCCGCGGCGTCGAAGAAGTCGGCCACGCGCGCGTCGGGTCCCCGCCCGCGCCCGCAGCGCCGCCTCCAGCCTCGCGAGTGCGGCCGCCGCCAGCAGCGCGTCGCCGGGGCCCGGCCCGCACCCGTCGATCGCCAGCACCCGCACCCTGCCCCTGTCCTCCGCGTTGCCCGGGCTCGGCGTCGGAACTGCCCGCCCCGGCGTGCCCGGCACGGAGCCCACGCCCGGCGCGCCGCCGAAGAGGAACTTGCTCTCCAGCAGGGAGAAGATCTCGTAGCTGAGCTTGCCCAGGTCCACGTCGGGCGGAGGCGACGCCATAGCTGCAGCAGATGGGAGAGATGGACGAGAGATGGGTGGGGTGAGCAGGAGTGTGGCGAGCTGTCGGTTGCGGTGGTGGTGATGGCTCGACGGCTCAGCGCGCGCTCGCGGCCTGCTTATAGATGGCCGCACTGCAGCCAGCCACCACACCAGTGAGCGTTTCTGCTCTGCTGCGCGCCTGCGCCAGTAGGAGGAGGCGGTTTCTGAAGAAGACGTCTCCTGAGGTGGGTGGCGTAGACGCACGTGGAGAGCGGAGCATCGGCTGACGACGGGCCGAGGGGACCGACGGGCCGCACAGCGGCGTGTCGCACTCGCCGTCAGCTGGCAGCCTGGCACGTGGACGCGTGGCCTGGTTCGCTGACTGGCATGTGGGCCGTTTTCCGCGGGCCCATTTTGTCGGTGAAAGTAGCGTGGAGCGCACGTGTGGCGGCGGCGTGACCGACGGGATGCCGGAGCGGTGGGGCCGCGCAGCTCTAGTTACGTGGGCCCGGCGTGTCAGAGTCCATTCCTGGACAGCACTGGGCAGCAAGCAGCATCAGCATGCCATTGTACTCTGCTGCGTACAGTGCTCCATTTTCAGCGTTCAAAGCAATCTGGCCGTTTGAATGTTGCTATGAATAAATAGTGAGAATTACTGTGGTGCGAAATATGGTCGACAAGTAAATATTTATAGTTTTGTCATACGTTGTGATTGGATGTGGCCTATCACTCAGTGACACAAGATTTATATTAGTTCAGGCAACGTGCCCTACGTCCAGTTTTAGTCGGTCGGTGACTTCATTCCTAAGCCCAGGTGCTCAAAGTTTGGTGTGGGGTTACAAACGAGTAAGGAATGAGAGGGAGTGTTAGAGGCCCGGTCGGACTTTGAACCGAATGGAAGAGAGTGAAGGATGCTCTAACGTGCGCTAAGTATTAGAGTATATGCTCTGTGTAGCTGTCGAGTTCTAGAGCTGTTGAGTTATTCGAGTCCTCAGGTTCTCGAGTCCTCTAGCCTCTCACTGTTGGGAGAGAGGGCATCCCTTTTTATAGGTGAAGGGAATTGCCTTACAAATCAGAGAGAAAGAGAGAGAGTACGTACGTGTGCTATCTAGTCTTGTTGCCAACGCTGTCGGGTATGAGATGGCTGCCAGCGTCCATAATACTGTTTATGCCCAGACGCGTCTAGCAGGCTCTACCGTGTTCGCCTGGTACGTCCAACGACGGCGCCACAACACTGTTTATGCTTTAACACGTCTGGAAGGTTGTAGAGTATCCGTCTGTCATAGCCTGGTGGTACCGTCCTTTAGGTGCGCAGGATATGGCAAGGTACGGTCCTCGGTATTGCGGTTGACTTGAGCGTCTTATCTTATCTGCTACGCCTGCGCCCTGGGCCCACACCGAGCGGGCGTCCCCGGTCAGTTGCTCCCAGTTGGCCCCGGCCGTGTCGGTCGGGAAAGAGCAGCGAGCAGAGGTCCAGCGTAACCTCGATCGTAGAAAGGGGGTCGAGCGAGACGGAGCCCGTGACCCAAAGGTAGGGCGAGGCTGAGCCTCCGACCCAGAGGTCGGCCCTTTCTACCCCTCACTCTAAAGGTGTCTGGAGTGGTTGTCGAACCCATCGGTGGGCCAACCTTTAAACTCCTAAGCCTAAACGGGTCATAGGTATACTTGGCCATCAGGCTGGCCCGGCTCGGCACGGCACGAGCCCGTGCCAGGCACGGCCCGGAGGATGTCGGGCCGGCACGGCACGCGGGCCTCCCGGGCTGTGCCCAGCAGGGCGTCGTGCCTGACCAAGGGCCCAGGCACGGCCTGCTGGGCCGTTTTTCGGGCCGGGCCGGCCCGAGAAGGCACGGCCTGCCAAGCGTGCCAGGCTAGCCCGAGGCCCACAGAGAGAGGGAAGGGGAGAGCAGGAGCCAGGAGGCAAGGGTAGCCACGGGGAGCGGCCGCCACCGCCGGCGCGCTCGCCCTGGTGGGGAGGGGGCTGTGCGGGCGGAGGGGAGGCAGCCAGGGCGCTTGACGCCGGATCCGTCGGGGTGAGCGGAGAAGGGAGCAAGGCGGAGCTCGGGGGTCGGCGTCCCATGGCCTGCTCACTGGAGGAGGTCGCCCGCTCGCTAGATACGGTAGTTGCTCGCCAGATCCGGCTGCCACCTCGCCGGATCTGGCCAGTCTCCACCGTCGTCTCGTGCGGGCGTCGCCGGATGGAGGAGAGGATAGAGGGCACCGCTGGAGACCTCCCCGTGCCCACCATAGCTAGATGCCTAGATCCGGCCTCCCCGCGCAGCGACGTCGCTGGATCTGGCGTCCCCGCGCCTTTCTGGCACCGTAGGGAGGAGAAAGGGCGCACGCCGCCGAAGGGAGAGAGGCAGAGAGAGGGCACGCGTGGGCCGGCTGGGGCCAGCGCCGCCATGCTCCTGGGACCACCGCGCCGCTGGAGGGTGAAGGTCGGGCGCCACATCTCGGAGACGGAGAGGGAGAGGGCCCGAGAGCAAGAGGGTCGGGCGCCGCATCTCAGAGACCGAGAGGGAGAGGAGGGGTGCGGGTGCGGAGGGGGAGAGGAGGGGTGCGGCGTGTGGGTGCGGGTGCGCGAGTACGCGACGGCGTGGGGCGGTGGGGGAGAGGACTGAGGAGGGGTGCGGACCGTGCGGTGCGGGTGCGGCGTGGGGGAGTGCGCGAGTGCCACGGGGAGGGGAAGTGGAGTGAGGACTGAGGAGGGCTGCCTAGAGGGGAAGGGAGGGGCTGGCCGACCGAGCCATTGCCGGGCCATCTGTTGAAGGCCGTGTCGTGCCGTGCCAGCCCACGGGTCTGAGCAGCGGCCCAGGCATGGCCTGCTCCCTCGGGCCGGGCCAGCCCGGGCCCACATGTCACTGGGCCAGGCCGTGCTCGTGTCGGGATAAAAAAACGGGCTTCGTGCCGTGCCATCGTGCCTCGGGCTACATGGCCAACTATAGTCGTAGGAGAGTTTTTAGCTCCGTATCCCTCTTTTCTGTGATGGGTCATGGCCCATTCGGGGAGGCCCTGGTCGGAGGTGACGGTCAGGGACTAGATTGTGGTCTTAGCCTGTTATTGTGTATCTGGGCCGGTCTAGGCGTGTGCTGTTGTTGCGCTGCCTGCTGGGCTGAGTTTTGTTGGGAAGCAGGTCCCTTGGGGACCTCGGGTTTATGAACTCGACAGGAACCCCCGAGCCCCTTTGGGACTTCTATGAAGATGTGAAGGGGTTGTTATTGGAACTTTGGTGTTTTCTCCCTTGGTTTATTGTACCGCATAGGGTAACCGAATAAGATTTAGGCACTTAGCCTCCATGTGGAGGACTGGCAAAGGTCGTGGAGGCGCGCAAAGTGGATATGGGCACCCAGGCTCCATGGGGAGGACCGGCGAAGGCCGCGGGGATGCGTCGAAGGGATATTGGCACCTAGCCCTTGAACAGGAGACTCGCTGGCAATCCATTTTTCACCAGGTGCGCGTGAGCGCACTTGGTGGATGTAGCCCCAAGCCTGTGGCCGACTAGGGAGTCGGTCGGAGGCTGAGTACCTTGGTACTCTTTTTTGGGGCTATAGACTCTTGTGTCTTTTTCGGTCGGGGTGTTCGCCCGTGTCCGTTCCAACCGCAACCTGTGCGGTCGGCTGAACTTCTGAGTCGGGGTTGGGTGGCCCGAGCCCCCGAGCCCCGTTGGGCTCGGTAGGGGTCGGTCGAGTTTCATGCGTCACGCCATCCGTGGTTTTCGCAACCGGAGGGGTTGAGCTAACGTCGCTTGCCTCGATGTCTCGAGTGACGTGCTCGGTGAGCTCACTAACAGGCATGTCCGAGTGGAATCTGGGTTCGTCATTCGTAACGGGGTCGGCATAGCCCTCTTGTGGCATTCCACTGCTCCTTAACCCGCCTCCCAGTAGATGTTCGAGTCGTTCCAGAGATCGACTCAGGTGGCCCGCTGGCCCTCCCCTCGATAGAGATTCTGTGGGCATGGCTTGAGGTTAGGATCAAATGATAAGGTCGAGATAACCTTGTCTGCTTCTGAGCAGATCGGGCGAAGGCCACTGGGGCTCATCAGCGTTTTCTCCCCTGACTCTATTTGATGTGAGGCTGCCTCGAGCCCTTCGTGGGCTGGCCTTCGAACCTCGGTCGGACGTCGCTCATATCGAATGAGACGACTACCGCTTCGTGACACGACGCGAAGCATTGTGATGCAACAATTGCATATGCAATGCTTAGATATATGGGATGAATGTATGGATGAATGCATGCATGAGAATGGATGAATAAATGCTCATGCACTGGAAAAGTAGAATGGGGGTTGGTAAAGTTACCTTGATGGCTCGAGTGACGGGTCCGGGGAGCTCCTATCGAATATGTCCAAATGGGATCAGTGTCCGTCGTTCATGACGGGGTCGGTATTACCCACATGGGGCATCCCACTGCTCCTTACCTGTCTCTTAATAGCCGCCTGAGCCATCCGATCGACTCAGGTAACCTGTTGGCCTCTCCTCAATGGAGATTCCATCGGTGGGCCCCTCTAAACCCTACCTAAGTAGGCGGAGGGTCGTTTGTGTGCGGTAGCGCCTTGTTTCCCATGCCCAGGTTGCAGTAGTGGTGGGCCCTGCCCAGGCCACGTCCCGTTTGCTAGGCGACATTTCGTTAGGCAGGTCGCGTCCCATCAGCCAGGGCCACGCCCCGCCGTATGCCTTTCCACATTAAGTAGGGGAAGGGAGAGGGTTTTCCTCCTGTTCTTTCGTCTTTCTTCAATCGCTGCCGTTTCTCCTTCCTTCTTTTTGTCAAGCCTGTTCGTGTGCCATGACGGTTTCTAGGAGAGAGGAGGGCAGAGCGAGGGAGAGGAAAAACTCACAGATTCATTCATAAATCCGAGGTGCGATGTTGAACTGGAGGCCTTCCAACGTGGATGAGGGGGTGCTGGCCGCCTTCGCTGAGAAGGGGCTACTCCCATCGAAGGAGGTGGCACATTGGAGGGCTTCTGCGCCAGGGGAGGTTGTTCTGCAACCCTAAGCTAACGAGGTCATCTCCTTCCTTGCCTT